TCTAGGTAAATAAATAATAAAAAATGTAAATAATATATTATTTCAAAACTTTGGACACACTGAATGTAACAATATTGAATTTTTGAAGATAAAAGTATTGTAAAACTGTAAGTTGTTTGGTTCATTTTTTTCATTTTTTTCATTTATATTCTTAATATTTATTTTCTTACAATATTGTAATTGTAACCATGTAATTGTAACCATGTACTTGTTACAGTGGATAAATTGATCATTAGTTTCTTTGTTTATTTCAATGCGTTTTTTTTAAATCAATATTGAAAAAAAGTAGAATATATAATAGTGTACGATGGGTTTTTTAACTAATAAGTAAAAGATAGAAGAGAAGTCCCTAACAGCTCTTGACATTTCTGATTTTCCATTGTTCCGTTTATACTCTCTCTCTCTCTGCACAGTGTCTCAAGCAATAAGATCATTCCTGGTTTTATTGGTAATTCTGAATCGTATTGATTTCCAACATATCTGATGATGCACTTTATTATTCGGTTGATCTGTGTTCGAAAACAATGGTAACTTTGTCAACCCCTTTGGTGATGTATTTGATAGCTTTTGAAGTATTATACCACTCAACATTAATATACCCTTTACACATTTGTGAATCCATTGATGTAATCTGCCAGTAAAAAAATGTTTACTGTTGCTACAGTGTACATATATGAAGTCGGGAGAAAAGAAATAAGTACTTTATTAAAAAAAATGAAAAGAGATAAGAAACATGACAAACCTATGGAGCTGAAAAAAATTGTGATTAGAGCAGGAAATGTTTTGTTTAAGTGGATATATATACAGAACATGACAAACCTATGATAAATTATGTATTTTCATTTTCGTAAGATACATTTTAGATCTATGAATACTACGAACTTTAAGTTTCTATAAATTTAAGTGTAGTGTCTTGGAAATGTCAATTTTGCTTTGAAAGTAAAGCATTTACATAAATTTAGTATGAGTAAAAGGAAGTTTCGAGAGTGTTTTAAATTTATCATTATTAAATGGATTGGTTGAATTGAAATGGGATGGTCCAAATTACACACTAATTGTCATTGTACTTCCCTATGCTTTAATGACTATGGATCAAGAAAGGGTGGGATGAACTTCCTAATAACTGATTATGAAATAAACAGGAGTAGAAAACCATGCAGACATACATACATGTTATTAAAATAAATAGATTGAATATAAATAAGATGGTTATTTCTTTTATTTTGAATCATTCTTTTTAAAAATTCAGAAAATACATCATGAAAAAAAAACAGTATACACAAAGTTTTATTGACTTGATGACATGTTAGTTGTGATACTTGGAAAAGTAGGTGAATCATCTCATCATGATCTAAAAGCCTGCATCGTTTTGTGCAAAACGTTGAAGAGAATCTCCACATATCCAGATGTTTTGCAGAAAATTAATCTGAACCAGACTTTTCCACTACCATGTGGCTGGAAATTTGCATGCCATATTCGTATGTGGTCTATTTGATTTCTATTTTCGTAAAAAAAAAAATTATAGGATCTGCCCAACTCTTTTTCGGCAGAAGCAAATCATCATGAAGCCATATATCATTATGGTATGATTTTGATCAATAACAATAAGCTCATGGAAGGGTCTAAATACATAAAAAAAAAACTCTGGAAAGAGAAAGGGATCGGAGCAGAAGAATATCAAAGCTGTTTTTGTTTTTACAAATCATCATGTGCATCATCAAATGAGAAAACCGCTTATTTCATTACATGTGTAATTATACTTATGTATATATAAAAGCTATACAAGCATGTTAGTGGTTTCAATGTTGCATGAGATGAGTCCATGGACTATGACTCCGACAGAGACACTAACCACCCCAATGACTCGAGCTGTCTCTTAAACCCTCCCTTTCAAACCATTACCCCTGCCTCCAACTTTTTTCATCTCTATGTCAACTAATATCTCTTCCTATTTTCTTTATTATTACCAACAAAAATCCTCGAACTGCTTTGTATACACAAACTGTAACTTTCTCACATTTGTCTCAACAATTTTCTACCACTAAGGCAAGAGTAAACTATCAATTTATACAAAATCCTTACGATCTTGGTACTAATTGCATGGTTAATGAC